GATATTTATGTATATCCGATACCAAACTTAAATAAGTCGTATGTGTATTCGACACTAAACTGAAATAAGTCTTATGTGTATCCGATACAAAACTTCAATAAGTTTTATGTGTATCCGATACCAAACTTCAATAAGTTTTATGTGTATCCGATACCAAACTGATAGTATTACTTATCTTACAGAATCGGTTGTTTATATATCCTGTATCAAATTTAAGATTCAGGATATTTTATATGTAAGTGAAATAAATCGAGTTTGTTATGTTTCAAAGTGATATAACACTTTGTTTATCTCCTTTCAAAGATTAGGAGGACAACGTCTACCTGTATCTTCTTTCAAACTGAAGTTAGTTTTGTATGTACGGTTTAAGACTAAAAGGCATTTTTACAAATGGTTTTGTTAGTTTACATTGCAGTATACATAATATATAATTGTATTGATTTTATAAGTTGTAAATATATATATGTACTGTGAAGTGGTTTAGAGTGGCTTATTCTTGCTAGATAGGGTGCTGTACCAAATGTTGTGTATTATTACTAATCATTATAGTAAAAGACTAACATTTAAGGAAACTTGTTGCATTCTGTATCAAATAAAAAATGGGCTTTTGTAAATCTTATCAAATAGGATAGGTCAATGAACATTTCATACCAAACTTAACTAAGTGCAAACGCATTCAAATTATGTGTACATCCTTTATCAAACTGGAAAAACAGCTTGGTAAATCATTTAGAAAGCTGAAATAGCGATAATAAATATCTTTGAATACCATTATTAAACTGTATTTAGACCTTTAATATCTGAATATATAATAGCGAACTATGTAAAAGTTGTATATGCTGTATGAAACTATGATACAATGTAAAACTCGGTATATGCTGTGTCACCCAGAGATTTAAAACAATTTGTGTTAAAAACATAAATGTGTAAATGAAGACTTTGCAAATTCTGTGTAAAACATATTTATCCTGTTCTGAATTGATAATAGTAGTATGTGTCCCATTTCCTGATTAAATACAACATGTATAATGTATAAAAAGAAGAATTATAATTCACTTTCAATTTTATAGTTGTATCTATTCAAATGTGTTTTTGACAGGAAGGAAATCAATGTTTTGTTATTCATGCGTACATGTAAAGCTACATAGAATAGATTTTGGCACACACTCATATTCAAATTTTACAATGTGTAGATTGATTTATCTTTTATTATAGGCAATATCCTTCTGAATATTTGTATATAGGGATTTTAAATAGTTAATAATAGTTTTCATGTTGAGCCTGTCCGTCTGCACCCAGGTGTACATTAATCATATTTATCATACATTTTATAATGTTTTTCTTTAAGGATGCATGCTCCACAGTGTAATGAATATTGTCTCAGAGTTGTCTCCCCATTAGAGTGTATATAATTCAGAAATTATTAGATAGCATCAATAAAGTTCGTTCTTATATTTCTCTTCAAATGCACCTTAAAAATTAAGTGTCCACGGCATCATTGTCAATTTTTGGCAGTGATACAGGGATCTTTAAAAAAAAAAAAAAAAGATATTTCTACATTCATTATACATTGTAATTCAAATAGTATCAAGCAATATCCTCTTATCACAATTACGATTAGCCTAATGGTGTTGACATCTGATTACACTTAAGCACGTGCTTAAACCCCTATTACCACATCACATTTTCAAGCCTTTATAAAGAACATTACAGAGGAAATGTACTTTTACGATTATTATACAAGAGTGATACATGTTTATTTCATTATCTTTCCATAGATTTTGGGTTTAATTGTTCACACCTTACGACAGAACATTAAAAATGAAACTGTTGTATAGTACAATCATGCATGTCTGTTGAAGATCAAATGATCGTTAGGACATTCTCTTAGATACACTTAAAACGTTCAATTTGTTTCGTGGTAACATTGGAATTATAATATCACGTACCTGGAAACTTTTTGCCTATTGAACATGTTTGCCTATTGAACATTTTTGCCTATTGAAACTTGTTTGCCTATTGGAATATTTTACTATTGAAACTTTCGTTTAGTTTAGCTTTTTCCCGTTCAATATTTCGCCTAGTGAATCTAACGTATAGTAGAACGTTTGCCCAATAAAGATTCGCAATTTATTTGTGAAACACATATTCACCCAGCTTAGATATCGCTGTTAACATTAGAAATAGTGCATATATACTGTATATCCCGAAGTAGTATAGAACTATTCGCCTTATTAAGTAGAGCAAACATAAGGAATGTATAGCTGCAGTAAATATACCATGTATCCTGGTGAAACTATAAGTAAAGTGAATATATAACATTTGGCTGATATTTTCAGACTGGGGATATTTTTTTTCATTAACGAAACTTTCGCAGAAGAATCTCCCCGTTATTGTATCTTGTTACATATGAATATTGATTTCAAAGGGAAACACGATATAGACTGAACTGAGTAATTTAATCTGTTGTTAAATCTTTTGAGTCTGATATTTTTAATTTTTCTATTATATTATATATAATGATTCATTGTAAATATTGTCATACCATCATGAGTGTTTTTTTCCATTAAATTTTCTATAAGGACTGGATTAGGTGATAATGATTAGTGTTAAATATTTTTATTTTTTTTTATCTGTCGATCCATTAATTAGATTTATTTGATTTAGATGATACATTGTTAATGCTATCTTTTAAGGATTAAATCTTGCTTTGGTCGAAAATTTGTTTCAAGACTAACTTAATTCATCACCCAAGGACTCGTCCAAAGCAAGATTCAATCCTGAAATTTTAATCAACGTGTGTTTTATCATTAATTGGAACTTGTGAAAGTCAGTATTTCATTTATGACGTGACCACATGGGTGTGTGATCCACGGTGTTTTCTGTTTGTACCGGGGGTCGACACTGACACAACAGGCAGAACGGGTAGCTGTAGGAAGAAATGCTAGGGCAGTATATGAATTGTCACTGCCGCTAGCAATAGCTAATAACATTTTGCTGATTGATCGGGGTTGTTTTTTTTCTTGTGTAGCTTTAATAAAAAATATCTCATAAAAGTGGTATCGTCTTTGTTTAAAAATGTCAATAGTGATCTCCCTTTGCAAAATCTTAAAATAATTATTCATACGCATAGGTAATGTTAATCTGGTCAATTTCATCGGCAAATGAAACAGGTAACAACTTTAGTAGAAATTGAAATATTCCCTTATTAAGTGTTTTAAGGAGAAGGTAATATAAAATGTGTATTTGTCAATTTTATGGTTTGATTACAATGGAAAAAAATAAAATGGAAACGCATACTAATATCTTTATACTTCTTATTCTTCTGAGAAGTATTACATGTTTGCAAAAAGCGAAATTAGAAGAATTCTGCAAAACAACATTTTCATTTACACCCGAATTCATCAAGCATATACCGCATTGAAAAATTACAACTGTACGAGTTAAACAGTGTAAATATACCTCAGCGTCAACATTCAGAGATAAATATAGCACAGTTTCAATACACTAAGGACAACAAAAATACCTCAGCATCAGTACAGTTGTATAAAACAGAAAGTGCGTCATCTTATTGAAGGAAATCTTGTACACAATCCCCAATGTTCATGTGGACATTTTACAGAAGATAGTTTCCACTATTTATTGTTTTGTACTAATCACAATGACTCACGCCAAAGGTACTCGACTCATTTGCCTTACCAATTAAGTGTTGATTTACTACTGTTTGGTGATGTATCTTTAACGTATGACCCATATGTAAAAAAAAATGTATAGCTACTTAAAATCAACAAGAAAAATTACAAGCAATTCGGATTTAACTGCATGGAGATGTCATGTTAACTTAGCTTCCCATCCAACCGGGTAAAACTCCATTAGTTACTTTCTTTATCCCTAATATCCTGTTCTATCTGTCTTTCTAAACAGTTAACTTAGCTTCCCATCCAACCGGGTAAAACTCCATTAGTTACTTTCTTTCTCCCTAATATCCTGTTCTATCTGTCTTTCTAAACAGTTTCCTATGTACATATTCGGGCTATTACTGCAAAGTTATCGAGGTATAATCAGCTAAGATTATTATAAACGATGTAAAGACTACGTATAAGTGCAATAGTACTTGTTTCCCAATCATCAAAATGAAATTTCATTTGTAATTTTACATGTTAATTGACACGAATAAAATATGGTTTATACTAAAATAGAAAGCTACGTCAATACCTAAGAATAAATAAAGCACAGTTTCAACACAACAATGAAAACAAAAATACCTCAGTATCTGCACAGATACACAAGAACAGATACACCACAGTTTCAACACATCAAGGACAACAAAAATTGCTCAGCATCAGTTCAGATGTATAAAATAGAAAGCTACGTCAATACCCAAGAACAGATATACATGTACCGCAGCGTTAACAGACGGACAGAACATACCTAAGTGTCAACACACATGTACACATTTTTACAAAGATGTAAAACGATTCAATATAATACTCGATTTTTCGCTGAAGTTGTATTGACGCTTTTGAATAAGCACTTATGTACTATCTTTCTATTAAAAACAAATACAACACATATATAAAAAATATATCACTTGGAATATTCATAAATTTTAAAATATTTTCCAAAAAATAATATATATGCAAAATATTAATAATCAGATATGGACAGATATGAAAAGCTAGTTTTACGTCACGTTACCGATAGTAAAACCCTTCCCTAGGGGTTGAATCAAAGATGGATGTGGTATCATACAAGGAACGTGACTCTAATTCGAGATAGCAGTCATTGTGTAGGGGGCAAAAAAAGCCTTCACGTATAATGATGACCATCCTTTAGCAATAACAGTCATTTGGAGGGACCCCCTTTATTGATAAAGGGAACCCCATCAAGCAAGAACATCAATGTTTTACGTGAAATAACCTTACGTGAAATCTATTTTTAGCGTAACAAGTCAAGACTTCTACTCCACAGTGTTATATAAATCCTACAGCACAGTAGCATACTCCAATCCATTGCCTGTGTGATAGGTGTAAACGTGTGTGTGTGTGTGTTCAACTGCAAAAGTGAGTTCAACGTTTACTTCTTCCTGTGCGAATTAGTCAAAGAAACCACTCCTACAAGAGAAGAAACATACCACATTGTAACAGTCAACACAATGCAAACGACAAAAGGTAAGATTTAACCTCTCTGGTTTTATAGGATGGTTTCCCTCGAAAACCCAAGTGTTTCGCTAACTAATGTTCTCTGCAAGCCTTTGAATATATCAAGACAAAATTGAAGGCACGAACTTAGCTATTTAATTTGGTTTCATGTGTAAAAAGACAGACCAATCGATAGGCTGATAGCTGTCCTTTGAAGATTAAGGAGCAAGATCCGACTTTAGAGGCACTAAGTGAGCGTAACCACTGGAATGTTAAGGACGAATAGGCAATTGTGTACAAGTTTGAAACCACACAACGGCAGTATCGTAGACAGTCATGTCTTTACCATGTTCTACGCATTATCAAATAAGTCTTATGGTTCAACAATCCCGCTAACAATGTCAACCCTCTAAAAAGTCAAGTTTAACAGGTGTTTCATTTCTAGCCAGTTGCCGGTCATAACATGCTCACACTTCGGAGATGCTATCAGCTACTTTTATGAGGAGAGTAAGAAGAATGGTTATGAGGTACTACGGAAAATATATTCAAATGGATACAACTTGAAATCTTATTGAAATCGCCGCATTTGAAAATAGGGATGAGGATATGTAATTTGCATATATTGAACTTGCCGTTAAGTTAATATAATTGTATAGAAACATTAACTAAGTGTGTTAGAAGATATTTTAGCAGTTATCTTCTCCAAACAGTTAGTTCACGAGCACGATGTAAAGCATGCTAATCTCCTTTAGGAATCGACCGACGACTATAAAATGACATGCATCGTTTATATTAAACCAAGGTAATGCCGAGCTTAATTAACTCTTTTACAAGCTGTGGGTTATCCTCGAAATTCTGCGAGACTCACTAGTGCTCTCTGCACCCCTGGAATATGTTACTACAAATATATAACAAACATGAACTGTCCAAGATGGCTGCCTGTTGGCCATTTTGTTTATTCAATCAGTCTCAAAAGTAAATTTGCACAGTTTTTATTCAAGGGAAACCTACACATGAAATTCGAGAAAAGATCTCCCACTATATGAAAAATAGCGATAACAAACAAGAAATGTCAATGTTTATCAAACCAGTCTCACAAGAAAACATGCACAACTATGGACCAAGGGGAAATTATATATCAAATTAAAAGAAATATCCTGCCAGTACTTTCTGAGAAAAAGCGATAAATTGAATTGTTTAGGAATGGACGACGGCCACGAGTGACATGCGATTTGAATAGCCCAACATCTGGTGAGAATGGGCTAAAAATATTAAAAATTGAACATCTATAATGGAACAGACACCTCTTAACTACGTACTACATTTATTCCCAAGTAAAAGGTACCTTGCTATTTTTCAGCTAAAGAGAACACTTATTTCATTTTAAAACATAAAGTATTTAATATATATAATGCCAAACCCACAATGGTCCTTCTAATTATGCAAGCTCTAATTAGTCATTCAGTCAATATTCAAAATCTGTCAGTTGTTGGCGTAGTATTACAACACTTTGAGAATTTTTAGAATTTTCACTTAAAATAATCAAACAGCACTATATACTCGACTTGTCCTCTGACCGGTTCGTATTCTTAACAAAAGCTACGGAAGAACTTAAAGGCGTCTGCTTTATTTCACTTTTTTTGGACGGGTCTCATCATGAATGGAATGCAAATAGGTATACGATGTGTTCATGAACCATTAAAGAAAAAAATTACGATTTCAAGTCATATATGTATTAGATATAAGATGTGACGGCCGCTATCGGTCATCGTAGTATACAGTTTCTGAAACAAAATATCTAAGTAACATATTTGTATATCGATGTTTGATTGATTGATTGACTGAATGGTTGATTGATTAATTGATTGATTGATTGATTGATTGATTGATTGATTGATTGATTGATTGTTTAATTGATTGCTTGATTGATTGATTGATTGATTGATTGTTTGATTGAATGGTTGATTGTTTGATTGATTGATTGATTGATTGATTGAGTGATTGATTGATTGTTTAATTGATTGCTTGATTGATTGATTGATTGATTGATTGTTTGATTGAATGGTTGATTGTTTGATTGATTGATTGATTGATTGATTGATTGATTGATTGATTCATTGATTCATTCATTCATTGATTGATTGATTGATTATCGAGGAGTTCGGTTATCCAGCAGACGAAGGAAAGACAGGAAAATGAGTAGAAGAGATAAAGTATAGAGTGAAGGAAAAGAAAAGGATGACAGAGGAGCGAAGGAACCATCTATCCTATATGTATTAACGTATACGTATCATTGTTGTAAGACGACCCCTAGGCCGGTGTTATTAAACGTGTTTTATTTTTGGTGACTTTACCATCTGTCAGGGGGATTGTTTGACTTACATGAATTGAGAATTGGATTAATGTATACGTTCGCTTTATAACGATCCAGTCTTCCTATTCTATAGTGATGTAGCAGAATGATGTAGAGAAACATGTAGCTGCCGGTCACTAAGGGTTTGTTAATCAGCTCATTTAATTTACAACACTTTGTATCTTCTTCACATGTTTCTTGTCAATCGACTTGATCATACTTAACTCTTCTGACGACCAATCTCAGCTCAGATGATCAAGTCCATCCGTGTCCCCTGTATATAGCCAACATACTGATTCCCAGGAAAGGATATAACACTTCATACTCTAGAAATACAATTGAGCCTAATCAGTTATCTGAATCGGTTTTATGTTCGAGCTTAGATATTAAGGACTGCGAATAACAGGAGACACTGTAGTTCAGTGGTAGGACGCCGGGCTCGTGACCGAGGGGTTGTGGGTTCGAGTCACGTCACGGCACTGTGTTGTATCTTTACTCTGATTTTTCCAGTCTACTCAGCTTTAATGAGTACTTAGTTGGGCAGTGCTAGAAATTGTCGCGTGTTAGCTGTGAGTGCCGAAATGGCAGCACCGGCTTTATGTTTTCAAGGAAGTTGAGAAAGATATTGGCTGGTTGCAAATGCCCTTTAACCACAGAAATTAATTTGTGAAACGCTTTGATACAACCTATAAACTAGGTTGTGAAGAAGCGGTATATAACAAACCTCGAATTATTATTATTATTAAATAAACTATCATCTAATATCCTGCTAAGTCCTTGTTCTAAATGATATCTAAAGCTAGGACAATGATATCTGCCTTATCTGTAAAAATGTTGTACGTCAGAAAGTCGGCCGATTGTTGCCTGTTTGCCAGTTACTTGAATTATCACTCCAGTCCGTTGATCCAAACCTGTCGAGCAAATCAAGACCAACATCCGCAAGTGTGTTACGTATCACACAGGTTAAATGCGAGACCATTACTCTCCAATAACATTTTTTTCCAATAAAACTTAAACACCATGGGAATGTTAAATGATAGTTTTTCACATGGCATTTTCTTTGTGACCTTTAATAAGATTCATCAATTTGGAAATATGTGAAATCAATGTTTTACTTTCTACACAAACAATATACGTATTAAACGTTTCGCAACGTTTCAAGGCCGACTGGTGTAGTGTGTATACAGTACGCTCCCTACCGATAGGCAAAAAACGTCTCGGTCGGGTGACATTAAAAATAGACCATATCGTCACATCGTTGACAGGTAAAAGATACAAATCGCTCGCTCAGTCATAACTTGACAAAGGGACCAGTCGGTCTTGAAACGTTGCGACACGTTTAATACGAACATTTTTTTGTGTAAAAAGTAAATCATTGATATTCTGTTTGATCGTTTTTATATTTTGAGTAAGACAATTACGCTTGCCGGACTGCTAATTTACTGGTTCTCAATTTTACCTATTGATCGTGTTACGTGCTTGACAAGCTTAAAAGCGGTTTATTTTTCATAGAATAGCCATCGGTATTTTTTATTCTGTCTACAGCAGATAATCCTCGATAAACAAGGAGCCACGCTCACTTGCACTTTCTGCACCCATATAAATATTATCTTGACAAAATCATTTGAGCCATCTTATAAATGACACAAAAAGACTGATTTGATCCTTTAGTGCACTTCAAAAAGATCTCACGGCAGCGTAAAAGTAAAATTGATTGGCTTCGAAGTCGCGGTCGCTCCTCTGTAATCCTCGTTTCGCAGAATTTTTTATAAATGTTTTAAACGAATTTTAAGATTTTGGTATCATGTTACATTGACTTAGTTCCTTATCTGATAGAAACTTTTCCTTTTTTTATTTCTCACCACTGTGGAAGCCATGCAAGAAGGGTGGGAACGTGCCTATGTGATTTGATGCAGAGCAGAGATTCATGTTAAGAAAAAAACCTTTAAACAGACATGAACAGGGAAAACAACTTTGCTTTAAAACAAAATATGTAACTTAAAAATCACTCTGAATTTTCCTGCTAATACACAAACGGTCAAAAAGGAGGAGGTTCCGAATCAAAGATTTAACCTGGTTGTGTGAGGAATATTCAACATTTTGCTATTAATTTACTTTTTGTGATTACAAGATTGACGTTGGTGACCCTAAGTTTTGTGTTGTCCAGTGTGTTGCTTTTGACTCTATTTTCTGTGACGTTTGTTGTTTTTGACTTTATGTTATGTTTTGTCGAGTTGTTGTTGTTGTTGTTGTTGTTGTTGTTGTTGTTGTTGGTGTGTTTTGTTGTTTTAGATTTTGTTGTTTTTGTTGATGTTGTTGACGCTATGCTCTGTGACTTCTGGTTGATGTATTTTTATTAAATGCTCTGTGTTGGCCAGTTTTGTTGTTGTTTTTGCTGTTTTGTGATCAGTTAGGACCCCCTCAATGCCATTTATATTATGATAATATCCTTAATATCCTGATAAACAGATCCTGTTGTTAGATCAGAGCTGTGATCAAAATATGAGCTTATAAAACGTTACTTTCCGGAGTACTTCCCCTGCTTAGCATTGGTATCCAAACTGCCATCAACATAAATGTTATGCAGAAATTCGAGCTCGCCATATTTATTATTAACATCTTGAGCACCTGCCTTGCCTACATGTGTGTTGCCTTGACGTACAATTACCACTTATAA